AGGCATGTTTAGATCCAATGGAGGGTGTGGTTATCTAAAAAAGCCAGAACTTTTGATGAATGTTGGCCCTGATGGTCAGGTCTTTGATCCAAAAGCAGAATTGAAGGTGCAGAAAACATTAAAGGTGAGAATTTTGTTATCTAAAAGTATTTCCTGTCATTCAACTTCCACTCTCTTCTCTAAATCCTTTACCATGTACTTGACAGGTAAAAGTATACATGGGAGATGGGTGGCATTTAGATTTTAAACAAACACACTTTGATTCATATTCCCCACCAGACTTCTTTACGAGGGTAAGATGTTTCGCATTGGTAGCAATAACATGTTGAAATAAAGTTGTCTTGTGTCTTTTCTGCATGTATTTACCATTTAGCTCTGCGCTGGAAATGCAGGTTGGCATAGAAGGAGTGCCAGCTGATAAGAAAATGTTTGAAACAAAGATAAAGGAAGACAAGTGGAGTCCTGTTTGGGATGAAGAGTTTAAATTTGAGTTGACTGTTCCTGAACTGGCATTGCTTCGAGTTGAAGTCCTTGATTATGACATGTCTGAAACCAATGATTTTGGTGGCCAAACTTGTTTGCTTGTCTCGGAACTAAAGCAGGGAATTCGAGCAGTACCCCTCTATTATAAGAAGGGAGAGAAGTTGAACAATGCAAGGCTTCTCATGCGCTTTGATTTTGTCTGAGATTGTTGATGTTTTGTCCTGTGTATTTATGTGTTATTATTAGTCTTTTCCACCACTATTCCTCTGCGACAGGAGTAAAGGTGCAAATAAGGATTTTAATTCTACATTTATTTCTATTTAAATATGTTAACTTTATCATTTTTTAAATAAGGAGGTTAATTTTTAATTTTTTTCTATTTAAAGATGTTAATTTTCAACTTTTTCTATTTAAAAATGTCAACTTTTAACTTTTTTTATTTAAGGATTAATTGGTGGTGATATTGACGGCAGTTAATATATTTTTTATTTTTTTAGGTTAAATACCTGAATTGGTCTCTCAACTTTTATTTTTGAACCAATTCATCTTTGAACTTCAGGAAGTACCAAAAACATCTTTTAACTTCAATTTTCAATTGTCTTTCCGTTAGTTAAATGTTGATGTATCTAATTTTTTCGCTAAGTAATTGACTATTTTACATTTTCAATATTAAGTGGAAAATCCATCATGTAAAAAATGATTATGTGGATTTTTTAAATTTTACATAATTTAAAAACTATTTTAATTCTTAATTTTACTTTATTTATATTTAAAAATTAAAACAATTAATATATTTTCCCATTTAATTAGTCCCACCTACCATTTAATAAAATTA